GGCAGAGACAGGCGGATCTCTGTGAGTTTGAGGCCAGCCTGGGCTACGGAGTGAGTTCTAGGACAGTCAGGGCTATGCAGAGAAACCCTGTCTTGAAAAACAAACAACAACAAATCCTTCTCCAAAATATCAAAATTACAAACTCGTCTTCCCTTTGAATAAACTACTTCATCTCTAGGCATCTACTCTGTGAATATATTTGCAATTTGCATCCATAAAATGTGACATTCGGCATCATCTATTACATCAGGGAGCAGGGCCCAGTGCATCAGCGAGTGTTCAGGCCAAGACAGGAACTGCTGCAAGCAGGGACTCAGAGCTGGACGAGCGGCATGGCAAGACTCCTCAAAAAGAGAGAAATGCAAGGGAGTGTTCTAAAATACTTTGCCAAATGAAAGGCAAGTTGGAGAACAACAATGTACTAACACTTGCATGAAATACACTGTGTGTATGTGTGTGAGAGAGAAAGGGAGAGAGAGAGGAGAGACAGACAGACAGACAGACAGACGACAGACAGGAAAAGGAGAAGCAGGAAACTGGTTGTCTTTGAAGAAAGAAGCCAGGAAGGAGGGGTGTAATGGGTATAATTTCTTTCCACTACCTAGTTTTTGGTACCCTATGCAGATAGACTGCACTAAAAATTAATGTGTGTGTAACAGAAATAAAAAGCTTCAGGGAAGAAAAAACCCTAACCTCACCACTAATGATGACAACAGTTGGGAGTTTTCTTTCCCGTTCTCATTTTTTTCACTGAGACTATGAATTTAGGGTGGCTGGCCTGTTAAGCTCACACCATACACGGCTGTGTGCCTTGAACACCTCTTCCCCTGTATGTCATGAACACGTTCCCATTTCTCATCACAATTCTAGTTCAGTCTTGTGGTTGTTTACTGGTTCAGAACTAGGACCCGCTGGTTCTTGGGTTTCGTATTCCTGGAGGCACTGCTCTGGGGCAAACACACCAGGAACATGGGCATCTCTCCCAGGAGCTGACGGGAGAGAGAAGCTGGGGCTCGGACTTCTCACCAGCTCTGAGATGCGGAGGGAGAGGGACGGAGGCAGCCGTTCTTCTCCTTTCTTACAAACTGCCTGGCAGAAGCAGTTTCAGGCCGGAAAGATTCACCTGATTTCAGTCTGTCGTGGAGAAGGCATGGTGGTGGGAGCCACTCTGTCCCTCCAAGTGGGAGCACTCAGTGGCCACTTGTTCACAAGGAACCAGGAAGTGGAAGGAGCTGGACAGAAAGTTCAAAAGCTCTGTCCCAGTGACACCACTACCCCCAGGGACACCCCCTGTCTCCAGTGACACCCCCTGTCCCCAGTGACACCCTCTGTCCCCAGTGACATCCCCTGTCCCCAGGGACACCCCCTGTCTCCAGTGACACCCCCTGTCCCCAGTGACACCCCTACCCTCAGTGACACCCTCTGTCCCCAGTGACACCCCTGTCCCCAGGGACATCCCGTCTCCAGTGACACCCCCTGTCCCCAGTGACACCCGTCTTCAGTGACACCTCCTGTCCCCAGTGACACCCCTACCCTCAGTGACACCCTCTGTCCCCAGTGACACCCCTGTCCCCAGGGACACCCCATCTCCAGTGACACCCCCATCTCCAGTGATATCCCTGTCCCCAGGGATACCCCTTGTCCCCAGCAACACCCCTACCCCCAGTGACACTCCTTGTCCCCAGTGACACCCCCTGTCCCCAGTAACACTCCCTACCCCCAATGACACTCCTTGTCCCCAGTAACACCCCCTGCTCCAGTGACACCCCCTGTCCCCAGTAACACCCCCTTCTCCAGTGACACCCCTACCCCCAGTGACACTCCTTGTCCCCAGTGACACCCCCTGTCCCCAGTAATACCCCCTACCCCCAGTGACACTCCTTGTCCTCAGTAACACCCCCTTCTCCAGTGACACCCCTGTCCCCAGTAACACCCCCACGCCTAGTGACACCCTCCTATCCCTCGTGTACTAACTACCACCAGTGTACTTCCAAGCCCCCAATACACTCCCCTACTCCCAGTCACAGCCCCCTGCCCCCAATGACACCCCACCACCAGCAGCCAGGCCACACCTCCCAGAGGCAACAGTCTCCTAAAACAGCATCCCCAGCTGGGGACCAAATGTTCAACCATTAAACCTATGGGGAACATTTCACATTCAAACCCTAACATCACACAGGCCGTGAGAAACACCAAGTGGCAGAGCCGAAGGAAAACAGCGACCATCCAGGAAGGTGTGTGGCCCCGTCAACCCTGTGGGAAGTAGGAATGAGAGATCCCAGCTGGCCTGAAGAATTATAGTCAAAGCCATGAACATACAATCTAAGACTTGGCCTTACTAAAGTCTGTCTTGGTTAGGGTCACTCTTGCTTAGATCAAACACCATGACCAAAGCAACTTGGGGAGGACAGGGTTTATTTGGCTTAGGCTTCCACATCACTGTTCATCACTGAAGGAAGTCAGGACAGGAACTCAGTCAGGGCTGGAAACCTGGAGACAGGAGCTGAAGCAGCGGCCATGGGGCAGTGCTGCCTAGTGGCTTGCCCCTTTGGCTTGCTCAGCCTGGTCTCTTATAGAACCCAGGACCATCAACCCAGGCATGACACCACTCACAATGGGCTGGGTCCTCCTCCATCAATAGCTAATTTAAAAATGCCCTACAGGCTTGCCGACAGCCTGATCTTATGGGGGCATTTTCTTGAGGTTCCCTCCTCTCACATGACTTTATTTTGTGTCCAGTTGGCATAAAAATTATCCAGCACAGTCACTCTGTAGCAGTGAGAGACCTTATGGTCCAAAGAGTAGATTTAATGCACACTTGTGAACTAGGCACCTATGACTAACAAGATACATCCTTTTCCCCCATGCACTTAGAATTCACCAAGAATTTCCAAACAGTGTGGTAGGTACTCCTTAAAGGGATACACCAGGGGGTTGCAGAGATGTCTCCATGGGTGCATGGATAAAGTGCTTGTTGTGCAAGAACAGGGACCTGAGTTCGAAACCCCAGAGCCCACATAAAAGTCAGATGGTAGTGCCCATCCCAGCAGTCCTACAGTGAGATGAAAGGCTCACATGGGAGACTCTCGAGATTCTCACAAGTCAGCTAGCCTGGTCTACACAGTGTTTCAATATGGTGGAAAGTAAGGGAAGGTACCTGAGGTTGTCCTATGACCTCCACACATGGTAAATACATGGCCATACTCTCTCTCTCTCTCTCTCTCTCTCTCTCTCTCTCTCTCTCTCTCTCACACACACACACACACACACACACACACACACACAGAGATGAAATAAATAATTGGATAGGTAGGTAGATAGATAGATAGATAGATAGATAGATAGATAGATAGATAGATAGATAGATAGACAGATAGATGAGCAACAAATGTCAGGAAGCTGCTGTTGGGAGCCTCCCCAGCTGGACCATCTAAGAGTCTAGTGCTAGGATAATGGAGCTTGCCCAAATGTGATGCTCTAAGGTGGAGACCATGGACTGTAACTGCATCTGACCTGCATCTTGAGTGGTGACCTCACCATGCGTTCTCCCAAAGGCAGAAAGAGACAAATATTTGAAAATCTGGTCCTAGGGAAGCAAAGAAGGGAATAGTATGTAAGAATGTTTTGGGTTGGACCCCTGCTGGGTGCTGATGACAGCTGTAAGGAGAAATCTGGAGGACAGAGGAGGAAGCATTTATTCCTCCCCCGCCCCAAGACCAGCCCCATAACTTGTGTCTGAGTGAATGGATCCTGAAGGCACAGGACAGCTAAGGGAGGGCTGGGGGGTCGGCCGTAGCAGAATCAAAACAAAGCCTGGTAAAATCAATGCAGACCTTGGGGAAGCTGGGCTGAAAGACCCAGCCAAGGGGATTCAGAATGCCAGCAAAGGTGTTTCTGAGCACCTTAGAAGGTTGCAGAGGTAAAGATCCTGGAATGGGAAGATCATCCTACCAAGAGGCTGGAACTAATATGGAGTGGGAGCCACCAACAGAGAGTGCCCCATCCTGGTTAGCCTTTGGTGGCAGAGAGGCCAATAGGATGTTGCTTTTCCTTCTGTGAGACAAGTTGAGGAGTTCACCCTCCCTGAGAAGGATACAGAAGGGCAAGACAAAGAATTCAATTTGTTTCTCAGCCCCAGTTCATTCAAGGACAGACAGGGCTCTTCTAAATGTGTAATGCATGTATAATTCAGGGTGACTCCCATGTTATTGAATGCTTCTATGTACCAAGGGCTGTACTAAGTATCTCATATGTTATTGTATTCAGTGGTGTCGATGATGTTATGACACAGGCATGAATCTTATCCATCTGTTGAGGTTCAGGCACATCACATACTGTATCAGGTAGTCACAGCCAGCTGAAAATAAAATTAAAGCCTAGAACTCAGAATCCCTAATGGGCTTCTCTATGGCCATGTCCTGCTTGCCACATTTATGTCTTATGGGCTGGAGAGATGGCTCAGTGGGCAAAGTGTTTGCCATATAAACGTGAGGAGCTGAGTTCAGATCCCCAGCACTCATTGTAAAAAGTTGAATTCAATGATGCCTGCCTATTAATGTAAGTACTGGGCAGGGTTCAGGGGATAGGGTCAGGTGGATCCCTGGAGTTCACTGGCCAGACTGTCTAGTTGAATAAATGAGCTCTGGGTTCAGTGAGAGACCTTGTCTCCAAAAAAAAAAAAGATAGGTCTGGACAATGGCTCAGAGGTTAAGGGCACCTATTTTCCTTGCAGATGACCTCAGTTAAGTTGTCTCAGAAACACCCACAACTCCAGTTCCAGAGGAATCTGACTCCCTCTTCTGACTTCCTTCAGCACCAAGCACACAAGAGGTACACATATACATATGCAGGCAAAACACTCCCTCACATAAAATAAAAATAAGTAATAAGACGGATAGTGACAGAGAAAGACACCTGACACTGACCTCTGGTCTCCACATGAACATACGTACACATAGATGCACATGTACATGAACTTTTATTCATGACTCCTCCCCCACCCACATACACAAAGAAATCAGAAACCCCCTTTCTCCCAGTTTTGGAAGTCCAGAAGTCCAAAAGGGAGATGTGGGGAGGGATACAGCCTTCTGGACCTTCCAGGAAGGGAGGTACCATTTTTGCTTCTTCCTGCATCTGATGATTTGCTGAGAAGCCTCCGCCTTGTCCACCTCAGCTTCCATCTCTCCAGTCAGCTGCACAGCATCCTTCCTTGTGTGTCTGCCTCTGCTCTTCCCCTCTTCTTCATACCCGGCTATCGGTAGATTTACATTAAGACCCCTGGGCTGGAGAGATGGCTCAGCAGTTAGAAACACTTGTTGCTCTCACACAATCCCCCAAATCCACAGGATGCCTCACACTCATCCCTAACTCCAGTTCCAGGGAATCCAATGTCCATTTCTGGTCTCTGAGGGTACCAGTCATGAAATGGTACACAGCATACATGCAGGCAAACATTCATATGTATAAAATTAAATAAATAGATCTTAAAAAAAAAAAAAGACCAGCCTATACTGGTCTCAACACACAACCATCCTACTTCCAAATGGAGTCATATTCTGAGACTTAGACATCACTTGCTTCTTATGTGTTTAATAGATGGATCTCCACATGAAGGAAGCAAAGCCAATGGTCAGCTATAAATGGGAGTTATAGTCGGTCCCTTCCACCTCCTCGCTGTAGAGTTTTCATTGGTATGCTTTCTGAATTGATCAGTTTCTTTCTTTGTCAACAAGAATCCCTGCAAAGTAAGCCATTTCCATGTGTATTCAGTAAAGATATACCCACCTTCTTCAATTGTGCCTGTTTTATCCACACCCAGGTTAATCGATCTCCATTCATTGAATTTTATTCCAGTCCTGTGGAGTATAAAGTATCATCATCCCCATGTCAGGGATGGGGAGACTGAGGCTCAGGATAAGTATGTGGCAAACCTCAGAAAGTGACTCTAGCCTGCCCGGAATGTAGCTCCAGAAGGATTTCACTTCTCATGAAAAAAACAAACATTTTTCATTACATTTACATTATAGAAACATGTGTTCATCATAAGTGCTTTCAAAGGATGCAGAATGACATGTGGGGAAATGATCCAAACTCTCCTCCCCATCCCAGTTACTTCCAGGCTTGATTCCCTCCCAGGGCTCTTCCTCTGTGACATCTGTTCTCTATGTTTTCTGTCAGATGTGTACATCATTGCCTATTTTTAGTGCTTGTTTTTTATTTACATAAAGAGAATCTCACTCTCCATGTTGCTTTAGTACCGATATTTTCCACTTAATAAAACCCTGGAGATGGGTTTTTTTTCCCTGTGTCAGCGAAGCTCACACTCATCTTGAATGTTCCAGAATAACAGAAGGGCCAGTTCGGTTGCCGCTGCCTGGATGTCCCTTCTGATCAGCACCCTTGTTCAAGCCAGCCTGTGGATTGTTAGTCTTTCCCCTTTCTCTGTTTCTTTATTGGAGGTGAAGTAAGAGGGGGCTGGGAACTGAACCCACAGCCTTCTGCTTGCTAGGCACACAGTCTACCACTGAGCTGTGCCATCAGTCCCACAGCTGCTGATTTTGAGCAACATGTCTCATTCATCTCAATTGCTGTCTAATGTTTTGGAGCATTGAAGTGCTGCCACTGGGTAGAGTGCTTGCTGTAACGTGCAAGCGTGAGGACCTGGAACTCTTGTTGTGGCTGGTGTCTGTGAGCCCTAGGCTGGGAACACAGACTGGGGGAATCCCTGGGGCTTCCTGACTGGCCTGTCTAGTCCGACGCATGAACCCCAGGTCCCAGTAAGAGGTTCTATGAGGTGGACTGCCACTGCACTCTCATGTAAACATCTGCTTCTGCTGTTGTAGTTTAAATGTGAAATGTCACTTTGTCCTAGCTAGCAGATGTTTGGGGGACATTGTGGGACCTTTAGTAGGTAGAACATGGCTAGAGGAAGTCAGTTGCCCTCACATGGATCCTTGGGGTAGATGGCCCCTGGCTGCTTCCTGTCTTGCTCTCTGCTCCCTGTCTGGCCCTGCCACAGTTGACTGAAATCTTCTGAAACCGTGAACCAGAACAGACCTTTATTCCCTTAAGTCATTTCTGCCAGGTGTTTTGTCACAGTCATGATGACAGATGGTCCTCAGCATCTGAGAACTTCCACAAGACAATCTCCCCCAGGAGAGACCCCCAGGATTCTTCCCACCATGAAGTGGGATCCATACTGCCTCCCACAGTCATCCCAGGTACCTCCTCTAGGACAGTGGCTATATCATCTCGGGTGATTCTAAACAAATGCTGCCTGGGTCTGGGCCTCACCTCTAGGAAATCTAATTTAAGTGAATGAGGTTGGACCAAAGTGTTAAGACACTTTTAAAACAATTCCTATAGATAAATCAAGTTAAGAACTACTGACAGGTGCTGGAAAGTTGGCTCAGTGATTAAGAGCACTTGTTGTTCTTGAAGAGGAGCAGGTTCAGTTCTGAGCATCCATGTGGAGGTTCACAACCATCCCTAACTCCAGTTCCAGGGGATCTAAATCCATCTCCTAAACTTCAAGGGCACCAGACGCCTACATGGTACACATATATGCATGGAGGCAAAGCATTTGTACACATAAAATAAAACAAGTTTTTAAAAACAGCTTGCATAAAAGCAGACATGTGAATCAATGGAATCAAAAAAAATGCTGACATTAATCCACACACCTGTGAACACTTGATTTTTGACAAAGAAGCCAAAAATATACAATAGAAAAAAGAAAACATCTTCAACAAATGGTGCTGGCATAACTGGATGTTGACATGTAGAAGAATTCAAATAGATCCATATTTTTAGCCATGCACAAAACTCAAGTTCAAGTGCATCAAAGACTTCAACATAAATCCAGTTACACTCAACCTGATAGAGGAGAAAGTAGGAAGTAGCCTTGAATGCATTGGCACAGGAGACCACTCCCTGAATAATACCAGTAGCACAGACATTGAGATCAATAATTAATAAATGGGACTTCCTGAAACTGAAAAGCTTCTGTAAGGCAAAGGACATGGTCAATAAGACAAAACAGCAGCCCACAGAATGGGAAAAGATCTTCACCAACCCCACATCTGAGAGAGGGCTGATCTCCAAAATATATAAAGAATTCAAGAAACTAGACAGCAAAATACCAAATAATCCAATTTAAAAATGGAGTACAGATCTAAACAGAGAATTCTCAACAGAAGAATCTCAAATGGCTGAAAGACATTTAAGGAATTGCTTAACATCCTTAGCCATCAGGGAAATGCAAATCAAAATGACTCTGAGATACCGTCTTTACACATGTCAGAATGGCTAAGATAAAAAACAGTGATGATAGCTTATGTCGGAGAGTATGTGGAGTGAGGGAAACACTCCTCCACTGCTGGTGGGAAAGCAAACTTGCATAGCCACTTTGGAAATCAGTATGACGGTTTCTCAGAAAATTCGGAATCAATCTACCTCAAGACCCTGCAATACCACTCTTGAGCATATACCCAAAGGAAGCTCAATCATACCACAAGGACACTTGCTCAACTATGTTTATAGCAGCATTATCCATAATAGCCAGAACCTGGAAACCACCTTGTTGCCCCTAAACTGCAGAATGGATTAAAGAAAACGTGGTAAATTTACACAATGGAGTATTACTCTGCAGTAAAAAACAATGCCATCATAAAATTTGCAGGCAAATAGATGGAACTAGAAAAAATATCATCCTGAGTGAGGTAACTAAGATCCAGAAAGACAAACATGGTATGTACTCACTCACAAGTGAATATTAGATGTAAAGCAAAGGATAACAAGGCAATAATCCACAGCCCCAGAGAAGCTAGGTTACAAGGAGGACCCTGAAAGGGATGCATAGATCATCCTAGGAAAGGGAAATAGATGAGATATCCTAGGTAAACTGGGGGTGGGGAGGGGAATGGAAGAGGATGGGGGAGTGGAACATGAGAGATCAGGATGGTTGAGTTGGGGGAGGGACAGAGAGGGAGAACAATGAAAGAGATATCTTGATGGGGAGGGGTGGTTAGGAAGAAACCTGGTGCCAGGGAAAATCCCAAGAATCCACAAGGATGACCTCAGCTAAGACTCTTAGCAATAGTGGAGAGGGTGCCTGAATTGGCCTTCTGTAATCAAATTGGTGACTACCCTAACTGTCATCATAGAACCTTCATCCAGTAACTGATGGAAGCAGATGCAGAGATGCACAGCCAAGCATTGGGCTGAACTCCAGGAGTCCTGTTGAAGAGAGGGAAGAAGGATTGTAGGAGCCAGGAAGCTCAAGATCATGTCATGATGGGAATCCCACAGAGACAGCTGACCCAAGCTCTTGGGAGCTCATGGACTCTAGACTGACAGCTAGGGAGCCTGCATAGGACCGACCTAGGCCCTCTGCATGTGGGTGACAGTTGTGTAGCTTAGTCTGTTGGTGGGACTCCTAGCAGTGGGACCAGGATCTGTCCCTGGCACATGAGCTGTCTTTTTGGAACCTATTCCCTATGGTGAGATGCCTCACTCAGTCTTGATGCAGGAGGGGAGGAGCTTGGTCCTGCCTCAACTTGACATGCCATGTGTTGTTGACTCCCATGGGAGACCTTACCCTTTCTGAGGAGTGGATGGAGGTGGTAGAAAAGACACCGGTGTGGTGAGGGAACTGGAGGAGAGAAGGGAGGAGAAACTGTGGTTGGTATGTAAAATAAATATAAAAATTTAATAAAAATATGTTTTTTAAATTTCTTAAAAGAAAATTAGACAAAGGATCTCCCCTATCCCCAATTTGAAACCTGAAGAGGGAAAATGTATGCACAGAAGAAAGGCAAATGGGACAGAAAAAAAAGTAGCAAGTAAAGACAGGACATAACTCTTCCCATAGAGGCTGAGGCTGCCCATCTCCAGTCCCTGAGGATCCCACGGTTTGGTCCAAACCTCCCTCCCCACCAGCTGCTTGTGCCCTTTATAATCCGCATGATTCATCTACCCTGCGCATTATCTCGCCTCTCTCACTACACTCTCCATGTTCTATCTCCACCACTCTTCCTGCTTTCCTAGCTCTCACCCTGTGCAGCCAGCTCTTCCAGCTGCCTCTGGATCTTTTCTCACTCTTGCCCACAATTAAAAACCTTCCCACTAATGGAGTGGTTGTGTTGGTAGTTTCTTTACTGGGTCCCATCGAATGCACTCACAGGTTCCTGCCTTTCCTAGGGGTTACATATCCACCCGGGCATCTCTTGACAAGCTCTCTCCCCACTGAAGGCCCAACTCCACACCAGCAACCCAGCCTTTGTGTTCAAGAAGACCGGCAGTGTGCAGACACTAATCTGTGTGATGCATGTTGGTGTAATTGTGGTAATACACATTGGTACATCCGGCAAAACTCACAGTTAATCACACTGCAGTTGACCTTGTGACTGACTTTGCTGGGAATGACTAGGTATCTGACTCTGCTCATTTGTGACAGATCACACCATGCCAATGGGAATGGATGACTACCAAGAAATCAAACAATTGCTGGCCAGGACGGCAGGAAAGAAGAAGCCTTCTCCACTGCTGGCAATGTATAAACTGATGCAGCCACTATGGATATCAGCATCAGGGTCCTCAGAGAATGGAAACTACCTGCTATGATGCCTAATACATGTACTCCTGGGTAAACATCTGAAGGACTCTAAGTCTGCAGACTACCAAGATACTTGCACATCCATGATTCACACTAGCCAGTTATGATGTCATTATCAGACAAATCATAAAGAAAACTGTCTGTTCATATTCAATGAAATATTACACAGACATTAAAAAAATGAAATCATGTCACTTACAAGGCAATGGATGGCCCTTCATGTTAAGTGAAATAAGCCATGTTTCTCGTGTGTAAAATCTAGACTTTTTTAAAGGTCGTGAAATCAGAAGACTCTCCAGAGACAGGAAGGAGACCAACAGGAGGGGGAAGGGGACCATGAGGGTGGGTACTGAGAGGATGGATACGATCAAAGTGTGTGGCATATATGCATGAGACTAATAATGAAACCCATTGTTTTGTACAGTGAATGTACACTAATGAAAAATAAGGAGATGTTAATGATTGATAGGGACACCTGGGAGGTGCTGGGCCACATGTATGAAACTCCCTGCACTCTGCTCAATATTTTTTTCTTGTAAAGGCAGAATTGCTAGAAAAACTAGAATTTATTATTAGGAAAAGGCTCTCCACACACAAAACCTCCATTCTTGGAGCCTCAGCATCTTCAAGAGGCTAGTTGGGCCATTTCTTCCTTTAGATAGAGGAAGGACAGGATGATTGCGGCCCTATAAGTACCTTAAGCTTTCAAAAATAAGTAAACGTAAGTGTGCTCATCCCAACACTCATTGAACACCACCGCACTGCCCACCTGCGTCTGCATCCTCTGGCTCCTGAACCCGAAGACCGGGCTGGAGCGACTCACAAGTTCACAGCTCTCTTTTCCTCCCTCCACCTTCTTTTTCTGAGGCCACACAAGGGTGAAGGACTTCCTAGTGGTGGGAACCCCTGCTCTCATTACCTCTACATTTCCGGGCCCAAGACTTCTTTTTCATCGGAGGTTAATCTGATTAGAGCGGAGGTGCTAATATCTTAAATGAATGCCATTAAGGAGCAGCAGATAACATCTGCATGTAAACCTGGCCTCTGAGAGGCCAGCAGCTGGAATGTCAAGCATCTGGCTGGCTCAGAGCTGGGGGAAGGGCTTATCCCAGGCTTCTGGGAGTCTCCTGCTGTCCCCACAATAATCCCTTCTTTACAGCAGCAGTGTGCTGAGTGCAACGTGATTCAATAATGACTCTTTGGAGTGTTTCTCTGTTAGACACAGGGCTTGGCTCTCTGCATCCATCATATCACTTCACTCTTCTGGTGACCCAGTAAGGGACTGTAGTCTCCATTCTGCAGGCGAGGTCTTTAACCTTGAGTTTGCTGAGAGACTCGTTCAGGGGGGAAATTCAAACTTAGTTTGAATCTTGCACTAATCCTTTTCCTTTCTAATCTGCACCCCACCCCCATCTCTCTCTCCCTCAGTGGAGTTTATGTGAGGTAGGGTTTCCATCACTGCTGGTGACAGCAGTGCTTGGGGCCCCGGTACGGCTATTCCTCTGCCAGACCCGGTCTCCCTCCTCTCCTCCCCCTCTCACTTCCTGGCCCTGCATAGATAAATCACAAAGCAGAGAGCTTTAGCCCTCAAAGATCGTTACATGGAGCCACCCATCCTTGGGCGTCATGTGGGATCTGGTGGTTGGCTCAGTGAGGGGGGACGCCACACTCACGAGCAAGACTGAGAATAACTCACCAGCACTTTCCACGCACACATGGATGGTCTGCAAGAGGACTGAGGCCAGAATGCTAGATATGACGGAGATGAAGTCTCTGCCCTCGGAAGCTCGGCACACACCAGGAAAGGAAGAAGAGGGCTGAAGAGAGGGGGAGAAGCGAGGCTACTGACTACTGGCAAGGCTATTGTTTTGTCCAAAGACCACCATGGACTCTGATGCTGAGCCCCTTTGGCTGACAACACAGACAGTTTTTCCACCACTGTGCTAGCTTCGAGTGTGGTGGACTTTTGTCAATGCACACACCAGTCAGCCCTGTCCTTTACCCTACCAGAGTCAACTAAGCTTTGTGTTTCAATCTTCCACTTTTGTGATCCTCCACATTGCTATCTGCTGCTGGTGGCCCAGGAAGAAACCAACCAACATCCCATTT